GTTGTCAACTCTATTTCTTTAGAAATTCGAAGTTTCTTTACGGTAAGTCCATGGTGACTTTTTTGATTGATTTTTCCATAGTTATTGAAAAACATGATCTAGCGTTGAGTGGGGGGTGGGAGTTGTGTTATGTATTTGCAGAGGATCTATCTTATGTTATTTCACATTCGATTGAGGAAAGTTCAACTAAAGTTTGTTCCTTCCCCACACATGAAAATGTAATAATTACTATAAATTTTAGTTTCCTGATACTTTCTAGAATTTGTTTTATGAGTGTTGATAATTTATGTATCAACATTTGTAACTGTTTAATTCTCACTGCAGTTCCCTCTCTTTGTAATATCCTGTTCTATGTCACATTTGGTACTTTTTGCCCTTCATTCACCTTGTTTCATATTTGTCTTTTTTTTTTTTTTAGTTTGTTTGCATTGCCCTTATATGTCTCTGCCCATCTTATTATTTTCAAACTATTAATCACTTTACTTTAGCATATTCTGAGCATACCAGTTGTTAGAGCTCCATTGTCAATTTTTTTTTCAGATTTAAAATCAAAATTTCCATTCCTTTTAACAATCTTGCATTCTATATCCCTTTCCATTTTTTCAGTAGTTTGTGACTTATTGCTGTTTCATCCTCTCTCAGAAATGTAATCTTAATCAATCAGTCTAGAATTTTTTGGTCATCGGCCACTTAGGTCCTATCCATCCTTACCCCACCCCTAATAGAAAGAAGAGGCAATCTGCATATAAAAACCCTTGCCATTCCCTTCTCCTCCAAAAGAAAATGACTTGGTCTAAAAAAAAATCCTTTGTTTTCTTCTGTTAATAGTTCTCCCACCTTTTTTCCTATAAAAAGTTTCCATTTTGTACACCTGGAAGTGCCTTTCCAGTTGCTAAATGAGATGCTCCCCAATTCATGAATTGTTTAATAAAGCCAATTAGATCTTCAGATTCATTTGTAACCACATGTAGATTTCACTTCTTTCATACAACTTTTTTGTTTGTTTTGTTTTTTGTTTTGTTTTATTCAAGCAGGCTTAGCCTGCTACAGGCATTGTAACTCACTTGCATTTCCCACCCTATTCTTCCACCTTTGTATGCCTACTCCCTTAATCATTAAACCTTAGGACCTGAGGTTCCTGCCAGTGTCAAATCTTTGAAGCCTCAGATCTATGGATTATGAGAACAATAAGTTTCACTTAAACTAAGGATAACATCTTGGCTTTAGATGTGATTCAGCCCCAGACCCATTGAGGTGGAACAGCCCCACAGACCAAGGGACCAGATGGGATGATGCCAGGGCTGATTCCAGAATCGGACACTATGATTAATTACCCCAGCCTGTCCAATCGGTAGCTCCTGTGACCTCAACTCTCTTAGTTTCCGTATAATCTATTCCTTCAAGACACCCAGGAAGGCAGGTTTTTAAGAGTGAGAGCTCGCTTGTGCTTCCAGGACTTTCGGCTCTCTAATAAACCCTTACTTCTTTGCTGAAAAAACGATGCCATATTTCATTGACTTACATGTGTTCAGGCAAACGAACTCCTTTGCTCCTGGTAACATTCAGTTGAATTTTGTTTTCTAATAGTATACAATTGTGCATTTTATTTTTCCCCTACAGATGAACATTTAGTTATTGCTATTATTATTGTTATTATTATTGTTATTTTGCATGTATATCCACACAATGCTGCAGTGAATAGGCTTCTTCAGATTCTCCCTTATACACATAAGCAAATGTTTACCAAGGGTTGACAGTAAGGGCAAATACTAATTAAAAATATGAGGCTTAATTTTCCCTGTTGAAAATAAGGGAAGGGTCTCTCCACCCCTGCCTCATCACCACTTCTTCTTTTCTGAATATTTAGGTTTGAAACTTGTGAATTCTTCCTTTGAAGAATGGATGTATGCAAATCCTTTTAAGACCAAATAAGGCCCTCACAAGCTTTCTCAAGGAACTGAGAGACATCTCTTTGAATTGTAATTATCAAGGGAGATGATGCCTCTATCTCCGAGTGTCTGTGGAAGGGGCAGAGCCTAACTTTGAGGGGACCCTCACATCAACTCGCCAGACTACTTCCTGCCATAAAGATAGAAGTTTCTTTTCCCTTTGGAAAAAGCTAATTAGTTAAAATAGTCAATTATCAAGAGTGCATTTAGGATGAACTGTGTGTGACGTGATGACTGGTGCTGCCAAGTCCTCTTACCTGAGAACTTGCATGGATGGGTTTGTATCTGTTCAGCTGTATAAAAGGGTTTTTACAATCTCTTAGTGGATTGTCTGTAATGCAAATATTTTGGTTTTATGGTTATTCAGTAGTTACTGGAGCAAAGGGGTTCCTCTGTTTGCACACATCTAAGTCCAGTGAGATATGTATAGGTTTTGCAGCAAAGAAAGTAAGGGTTAATTAGAGAGTTGCAAGTACTGGAGACACAGGTGAGCTACTGCTCAAAGACCTGGCTTCCCTGGTGTCTCTAGGGGATAGATTACGTAGGGAAAAAAATCCTTAGTCATGGAAACTAACAGTGTTGACGTCATGGTCACTACTGATTGGACAGGCTGGGGTAATTAATCATTGTGTCTAGTTCTAGAATCAGCCTTGGTGTCATTCCATGTGGTCCCTTGGGCTGTGGGGCTGTTCTGCCTCAATGAGTCTGGGGCTGAAACACATCTAAAGCCAAGATGTTATCCTTAGTTTAAGTGAAATTTATTGTTCTCATGATGGATAGACCTGAGACTTTATTCTTAAAAGATGAACTTTATTTCCTAAGGCTTAATGATTAAGGGAATAACAGACAAAGGTAGAAGGATGAGGGCAGAAAAAGCTAGTTACAATGCCATTATAGCAGACTAATAAGCCTGCTAGAATCATAGAAGAAGCAATCTTAAAGAAATGAATTCTGTGGGCGGTTACAGTAATAACACTGCTTTCTTTCTCTTCTACCTTTGTGGAGAGGTTTTCTGAGTTAGGAGACTTTGTTTTTAATTATTTTTCTCCAACAATAGCAGTTCTACTTCTTGGCAAGAGATGGACCAGGAGTGTAAAGTAAAGAGCAACACTGGAGGGAAACTTGGAGGTGGTTATCAAAACAAATCTGGTCCAACAACAGCGGATTATGAATACCTATTTTCCTACATGTTCACCAACATCAAGGATATATTCAAAGTCATATATGTCTTTGTGAGTCTGATAACACCTGGCTTTATTTTTTTATGCTTGCTGGTTACTAAGATCTGACACATGAATTTACTCTTCTGCAAAATGTTAGTTTTATACGTTAGTTTACTCATTGTCGCATAGTTTTTATTATCCTGCTTATTAACCATCACCTAATTAAATAGGTTGCAAATATTGTCTATTGCTTGTTATAATTTTGCTTATATTGTCTTGCTATACAAAATATATTCATTTAACCAAATGTACCTATTTTCTCCCCTTTGTCTTTAAGCATTTGAGGATTTAAAAAGAATTTTCTTAGTCCGATGTCAAAATTTTTTCCATACATGCTATGAAAAACAAAGGTCAACTAAGTAAAATTTAAAGATCCGATTGGTTTTATTCAATGACACATGAACTAGGCAGAAGCCCATCTAACAGGAGCTTTGCAATACTGTAGAAAATGAGACTTTCATAGGCAGAAGGGAGCCTAACGAAGTTAAACTAGTGAAAAGTGTATTGCTTGTGGTGAGCTCACTTTCCTTTAGGGCGTGGCAAGGATCTGTCAGAAAGATTATTTAGTAGCTGATAAGGTGATTCCTGATTGACTGGTTTAAGATTCCATTTCCAGCAGAGGCAAAGTGGAATTCATTATTGGTTTTGGTAATGTGGGACTTAGCATAACTGATTCCATTCTGGGCCTGTTGCCTTGTTTTTAACAGTGTTAAAGATTTTGTAGTTTTATTTCTTGCTTTTACACTTAAGTTATTAATGTCTCTACTGTATCATTTTGGGGAACAGTGAGAGAGATTTGACTTTTCTCCAAATGGCTAGCCAGCTGTAGCAACGCCATATGAAGATTAGCTCCACCCATCCGTTTTTTTCAGTGGGGGAAAACAAATGTATCCTGCTTATCCACTGTTTAAGATATTCAGACTTTTTAATAAAGCTGATTTATAAATGGAAATAAAAGTGCTATATTTTTTAAATTGTTCATGTTTTGAGTAATACCATAGATTTCAAACTGAATAACACTTTAACTGCTGCTACTTTACTGTAGGGGGATTTCAAAGCAAACATCATCAGATTTTTTTTTTTTTTTTTTTTTTAAAGCAGATTTCTGAGCCCAATTCCCAGGAAATTAAGTGAGTCTGAAATGGGGCATGGGAATTTTCATTAAGCAACTAAGTGAACAAGGCAGTCAAAGAATTTTCTTCTTTCCTTTAGCTCTTTATGTAGCTTATCTTAAATTCAAATTTTATGTTCAAGTTACAAAACAAATTCTAGTGAGAATTTAGGTAGTTTCTTCCAGTTTAACTTCCAACGTGTAGGAAATAATAAATAGAATAAACAGTGACATATAGAACGCTGAGTATTTATAGAAAAACAAATATTTAAGGTACTGTCAGTCCTTAAACTTATCCTTAAAGAGAAGATAACTGATGTGGTAGAGATAGGTGAAGAAAGTGCAATACTCCTGAATTTGAATTTACTGCTAAATCAACATAAACATGAATTTCTTATAAAAATAAAAATCAATATACATTTTTTAAAAATCCAAGCAGACTTTAGTCTCTTTCGGTGATGACCCTGGATAAGCTTTATATTTCTAACATTTTGGGTTTGGCATCAACATTTCATACTGCTTATACTAATAGACTTCAGAAATAAGGTTAAAATTTAGACTAGAAAGTTTTAGAATATGATACTTTTCTTAGAAAGCAATATTAAATGCAATCTTAAAAAATAGAAGGTGTCATGTTAAATTATAAGTGATACTTAAATCAGTGTCTTTTTTCTATTTCTTAGCCTCGAAAAAATCTGATTCTATATAGAATACATGTCCAAAATGATCAAAGAGTTTTATTTAAATATATAACATAAAAACACACTTGTGATTCTTAGGCAAAGCTTAGGCTTAATGAGAAGAGTAAGCTACATTTTTGAACCATGACTACTATTTATTCCCAGAACAAATGCAATACTACACTAGTTTTTTTTGTTGTTGTTGTTGTTTTTAATCTTTCTGCTCTCAATAAATGCACAGATCTTTCCTATCCAAGTTTGTAATAACGTATAAGACAATTTGGTCAATTGCCTCATTTCACATTAGCTTTGGATTATGTCAAAAAAACCTTTAAAATTCCTTTGAAAGAGATAACTTGGACCTTTCACATGATATCGAGTCCCTTAAAAATAAAAGACAAAAGTGAACAGACACAAAGTTTTCTAAGGCAGCAAAGTATAAACCCCCATGACCTTTCTAGAACTAAATTAATTCAAAACAAAGATCTCAGTCAAAATATTTATTCTGTTCTTAATTGGGTTCAATAATACAAATATTGCAAGCCAGACTTAAGTTTCTCATGTATTATACTTTAAATGTCCAAAACTTTACATAAAACCGCACATGACCTAGTGTCTCTCACAATTCATACTATAGAATTTCTGACTTAACTGTAGGTGCTTTGAAATAAATTTTCTCCTTGACCACGACTATTATAGATTTGAAAAGACGTGCTCCCCTTAGAACTACAAGAGTAATCTCAATCAGGCCCTCAGGTAGAAACGTAAACACACGGGAAAAAGAGAGAAGGAACGAGAGAGAGAGAAGCGCTCACTGACATTGCTTCCCACATGTGGCATCTAGATCCGAATACCAATGCGACAGGTGCTTCTTGAGTCATTAGAAAGGGTTTAAGAGAAATAACTACATGACGCACCAGCTGGGCCCCGTCAAACTATGATATTTAAGGACAACAGTTTTACGTAAAGTATCAAAGTTTTGAAGGAAAAAAATTTGCTAAACAGTAACTTCAAGCCTTCTGTGGCTAACAGTCTGAAAGCCCCCCTTTAAAGTGAAGATGGAATACAAAAATACAGACTCATACACTTACTGGAAGGCTGCAGGGAAAAAGTTTTATTACCGCCCCAGCACTTACTCGAAAAGCTATGACTTGGAAATCTTAGCACATCCTGAGCACTGTCACTTTAAAAGATGTTAAAAAGGATGTAAACATTATCCTGAATGTGAAGGCAGCAACAATAACAAGAGAAGCCGAAGCGTTCATTCCAAGGTGTAGAGCCACCGGGAGGACCACTTACAACCAAAGCCCCATCTTGGCGTAGGGTCCCAGGAGTGCCGTCACTGTCATTTTAAAAGCACAGCCCTGGGAAGTGTCACAGAGCAGTACATCTGCCACCTTAATCCATTCTCAGGAATTTGCTCCAAATGGAGAAATCAAGTCAGGCTGCATGCCACAAGCACAAGGATGAGGACGAGAGAGGCGCCACGCCACGTCAGCAACACTGGGATTTGCTCTCTGCCGTCAAGGTCTCCTGTTCCAGTTTAATACTGTCCGCGTCGATGTCTTCGTTAGGAAAGCTTTGGTGGTTGGCGAGAATATTCTCCACTAGGAACCGGGCTGCTTCATCTATGTTTATGTTATCCTGTAATGCAGAAATGAGGAATAGGATCAATTCTGAGGATTAATTCTTAGAAGAAAGCATTACGGATATTACTGAGACCTAGGCAAATTCCTCAGAGGGGGCATTATGAATACACCTTCTCCTCCAATACTAAAGTGTTTGCCCAGAGTTCAATGCTATCGAGTAATGTGGCTATGGAACCTTCTGCTTTCTCCAAAGAATCATCCTTTTTTATGTTCTTGTTTTAAACTTCTTGCTGCTGAGGTTCAAAGAACTATTCTGATGATTGAAAATGAATCTTTACCCTGCTCTGCATTGCCACTCACATAAATAAAAGCACTAAGGTGAAAAAAATCCCTGCCCTTGAACATCTAATTCAGGTATTCAGGATATATTATAAAGAAAGATGCTCTCCCATCTCTGAGTACAAATTATTACTTTTAGTTGTCACATATAAATTAACCTGAAACAATGTTGTAAGTATGATGTCTGTTTAGACAATCCTAAGGAATCATTAGCTATCACATTTGAGTGACAGATTTAGAAGTAGACATTAAATACACAATAAGTACACATAGCAAAATTTGTGATTTTTAAAATATTTATCATTTTAAAATAATTTCAGATTTACAAAAACATTGCAAAAAGTAGTAAAAATTCCTATACACCTTTACCCATATTCCTCAGACATTAACATCTTAACCTGAGAACAACTATCAAAATCAGATAATTAGATAATACTATTGTTTCAGAATTAATCTATCAAACTTATTCAAATTACACCAACTGTCTCAATGTCTTATTCCTGATACAGGTGAGCAGCTGGATTTTGTGGTCATATCCCCTGGTCTCCTTTAATCTGAAACAATTCCTCAGTCTCCTTGCCTTTCATGAACTTGACACTCTTAGAGAGTACTGGCCAGACCTCTATTTGGGTCTGCTTGATGCTTCCTTATCATTAAATTCAAGTTGTGCATTTCTGACAGGAGTAAGACATAAGTGGCGTGTCCTCCACAGTGTGTGAGAAGGCACGCTCACTTGAAGTCCTGTCTACCAGGCTTCTCCTTTGAAAAGCTACTATTTTAACTTACATCATAACTAAAAATATATAAATATCCTGTTTTTCACCATACTTTTTCCCATTCATTTTAGCATCAATTTTTTCTTCCCTAAAACAATTATTACCGTGGTATTTAATGGTGATTTTTTTTATTTCCAACATCCCTTCTACATTTATTAGTTGGAATTCCACGGTTAGGTAGAGCTTTCTCTTCTCTCCCACTCATTTATTCATTTGTTCATTCACATCATGAATTATTATTTTGTTCTATGGATTAAGTCCATTACAATATTATTTACTTTGTTGCTCCAATTATCTTAGATTTTGGAGCTCCTGTAAGTAGGCCCCTGTCTTTTCAACATGTCTCCATCCCACTTTGTAAATGTTCTTTACTTTCTGGCACCACAAAATATCTCAGTCACCTCTTTACTTTCCTTGTCCCACCAATCCTGCAATCAGTCATTTCTCTAAATGCAGTTAGAGAACATCATAATTATTTGATATATTGGGGAATCCTGGTCCTTTTTACTGGAGAACAGTAGTATTTAAAATTACTGAGGACTCAGTAAATTCATTAGTTCTCAGCAGACAGATGTAGTTAAATTAAATACACGTGTGTATCCATACACACATCAATATCTATATTTATGTTTATACATATAGTGTATGTGTGCATGCGCACATGCATAAACACGGAAATCTACACACAGCATATAAATATTTTGTATTATATATAACGTAACATTCATATTGATCTCCCCAATTCTGATCTAGCACCGTGAGGTTCATGTTAGCCTCCTCCTTCATTTGTTATACCTTTCTCAGACAGTGAGAAACCTGCAAGACCTGTATCCCTTCCAGCATCGACAAGAGCTTTTTTACCTCCACTCCCAATGTATGAACTTTAATTAAAGTATTGATCTCTGAATGTCCAAATGTCATTTAGTTCTCACCATCCCCAGTATATCAAATAATTATGATGTTCTCTAACTGCATTTAGTAGCAATTGATGAGGAACAGAAATTCTCATGTTATAGTGTAACTGGTCACGTATTTTCATATTGGGAAGTCATTTTTTGCCATGAAGGTGAACAGATGAAATTCATGACTTCAAAACTGCCTTTTGACTACATTCCTATTAGAATTTAGATCACTGGAATTCAAGTAGAAATTAGATTTGAAGTTAGCTGCCGGCCAGGTCAGACGTATAGGTATTAAGTGACCCTCGGACAGTACTTTGAGTCTTTTTTTTTTTTTTAATTTTTTTTTTTTAGGCAAGGCAACCCTTGGTTGACCTCATAGATTGCAAGGACCTTGTCAGCTTATAGTCTCTTATTTTTATTTTATTTTATTTTTTACACCTACAGCACCTGGTCTTCCTAGGCGGTCTCCCATCCAAGTACTAACCAGGCTTGACCCTGCTTAGTTTCCGAGATCAGACGGGATCAGGCTTGTTCAGTGTGGCATGGCTGTAGATGTTAATCTTGACTGAAATTTTTAACCTAAATTTTACATTACAGTTATTCTCTTGGAACACTCCTGGCTTACTAAGGAAATTTTGCGGAAGGTGTTTCTAATATATTTGTAGGAAAGCACAGAACATGCCTACAACCTTTTCATTCAACCAATGTTTTCCTCCTCATCCCTCTATGTAACGCTATCTATAAATATAACAAAGCTGATGACTTATGCAGTCTCAAACCACAGGCCACATGACACAGTTGCTTATGAATCTTCCATCTAGATTCTGGGGATAAATTTGGATTTAGTAGATGAATGATTAATTCAAATAAAACCTAAAGAGGATATTTTATCTATAAAATACACATCTCCTCCACCAAATCTCATGCTCTAATAAACAGTTTCATACACCATTAATGTTTTTCCAACCAAGTTAAGAGGCAAAGCGAATCGCGTGACAGACACAGAGAGCAGACAGAGGGCTCAGCTTCCAGAAAAAGTCTCTCCTATAAGAAGCCTTCCTTTCTGTGATTTCTTACTTCCTGTGTGGCCAAGTTCTCATGCAGCTTCTTCTCTGGGCTTCGTTTCTCTTCCACCACTATTTTCTCTTTGATTATAAAACTAAATTTTCAGACACTAGAATATATTCATTTAAATAAACGGTCTTTAGCTTAGGAGTAAACACTTCTGCCTCCTCCAGGAGATTTTTCCCACTGACTCCATTATCACTCAGTATTTTCAGAGTAGGCTTTTGCTTCTGTTTTTCATTATTTTCATCATCAGTGGCACCAAATAACCTTCCGCTTTTAGAGTGGGTTTCTTGTAAAACTAAAAGCAACCTGGATGGGTGGGTAGGAGGGACAATGCTTTTTTTTTTTTTTTTTTAATATATATAAGAAATTCACAGAAGGCATTCTAAAAGCTGGAACTGTGGTAAGATTACACTAGACTTATGGTTTTGAGTTTGTCTGTCATCACAGAATTTCTCAAACATTTCATCATTCTTCTATAAGTCTCATTGTTATGTGACATCTAAAGGAAAAATGCCAATACACATAACAAGCACCCTCCACCCTCCAATTTTTGTGCTTGTGATTTTTACTTTCACTTTCTTGTATATCTAGGCTGTTAAGATTTTCAACATCCAACTTAAGTGTCTTTGTTTTTCAAAAACATTTTATCCAGGTTCCCATAATGGGTGAAAAAAAGTTCTCATTCTACTATTCATCATGAAGCATGTCACAAATGTTGATACTAACCTCTTGTTCAAATTCTCTCATACACAGTTAATATAAAACTCTTTGAATTTGAGTCATCTGAGTACATTGTCTCTCTGATCCATTCGATGCCTTTGTTAGTCCTGAAAGTGAATTCTATCTTCACCAGGGACATGGCCCTATGTTTCATTAAGCCTTCCATAAAAAATCAAAAATGTTTGCGCTTCGCAATATACCTCATACCCCATAAACTCAAGGTGCATGAGAACTTCAATTGAAGACTCAAATACACAAGAAAATGTCATTTGCTATTTGCTCTAAATAACAGCTCATTTTGATTTTAATGTAAACTCTGTCCATCTATTCTCCTCCCTACTAATCAGTTCTGAAGCATGCCTGTTGCTGACTAAAAGAAGATATAACATGTCCATGCTGTGCTTTGCTTTTTTCTAGGCTTCCAACTACCACTCACATAGATCCATCTAAATACTTTATAGTTATAGCTCAGGTTTACAAGTTAACAGCAGAGCAGATACAAAACGCAAAGCAGATCTCACCTTTGCAGAGGTTTCAAACCATCCAGTGAAGCCATGTTCTTTGCAGAACTGCTCCATCTGGGAAGGATTCTGGCCACCATCTTTTTTCTGGTCACATTTGTTAGCTAAGAGGACAACAGGAATAGGGCCGCCATTTGGAAGATGGACTTTACTATCTAGATCACTTTTCCATTTCAAGACTGCCTCAAACGTGGAACCTCTTGATATATCAAAGACTACAAAAGCACCAACAGCTTCTTTGTAGTATACTCGAGTCATGTTGCCAAATCGTTCTTGCCCTAGAAATAAATATAATAAGAGGTTAAAAACTCCTATTCAGACACGGTCTCAATTTAGATATAACTCCTTTGACCCTGAGAATAATGCTAGAAACACTCACTTCCCATTCCATAGCAACATCAACTGGCGAGGTTCAGGACATAGACACGGAATGGACTCACAAAGCAGAAGTAGCTGATCATGAGGTCTGAGTAGACAATTAACTAGTTTTTGTTTTGTACATGTAAAACGCATTCTCCATAAACATCAAGAGAACTTAAAGTTACAGAGCCCATCGTTTCCCCCTCCACTTCCCTTGGTCTAAGAGAAGAGAGAGACTAAAGGAAAAAAGTAAGCCCGGAGGAAAGCAGGAAGAGACAGGAACAGAAAGTGACGCTTGCAGGAAGAAGATAAGTGTAGTGGGTAAAACGCTAGTCAGAAAGATGAGAACCGGACATGAGATAAAGGAGCCCATGTTCTTAACTCATCTCTCCTTCACGTCTCTAGCCTACACCCGCTTTGGACTCGGTGTGCAAGATTGCTTTTCTCCCCGAAGGCAGACACAGGCAAACCTACCACCTTAGCACAAAAAGGGGCACAGACTGGTTGTTATTAAAAGAAGGATTGATTACAAAGGTTTTCCAATGTTGTCCTTCTAAAATAATTTAACATGTTAAATACTGTGAGAAAAAAAAATCTACTGCTTAATATATCATATAGGACTTTGCAAAGCATTCTCTTATGATCCGATATCATACTATTCTTTTATGTAGGATGGGCCCTTATCTTCATCTGACAGATAAGAAAAACAGGCGAAGAGTTGCCTGACCAGGATTATGGCAGCACTAACTGAAGAAGACAGGAACTTCAACCCCGGTCTACTGGCTCCCGCAAGCCTACAGAAATGTAATGCCAGCCATTCTGAACTGTCTTGCAGGTGCCTTGAGTTCTGAAGCTTACACTTTCAGTCTGTCAAGTTACTGAGTATACTGCTAAGGAAAATGACTGGTATTCAACGTAAATCTAACGTTTATAACTCTTTGACCAATGATAAAATCACTATGATGGGGCACTTTCCTATTAAAACACATGATAAAAAACACGCTTTATCTACATTTTATTGATAGTAACAAATGCAGAGCTACCCTCAAATTAGTATTTTTCTGCTTCAGATTCTACTATGCCATCATACAATTTTAGATATTGCTTAATATCTAAAATAATGGAAGAATACAATAGTCAGGTTAAGTTCGGTCTAAGAAATAAATTTTCATTATTCTGGGATTCTACTTTCCACAAATATGTAAGTAAAATGCAGAAAATTCCTGCCATGCTGAATGCAGGTTGTGTTCCATGACAGGAGACTAGGTAGAAAAGAAAGTCCATTCATTAAATACAAAAACAGTTGCATACGTTTTGTTTTGTGGTGTGGGGGG